CTCTAAGTGCGATTAGGGCTTTCTACTAGACCTTATAGCAATCGAATTATAGCTAGAACCTTTTCTCGAGGTTACGAAAGGAGTCCTTTATATCCTAGTATCGTTCGTTATAGCCTATTCGCCTCGCTAGGAATATAGCCTCGGTTTTATCTTCTTATTAGGAAGGTCTCCCTCTAAGGTTAATAATAAATTGCTCCTAGTCTAGCTATTAGGGTTATTTAAGCTCCTTTATACCGTCTAGGTTAGTATATTCCTAAATCTTATAAGTCTAGGCCTACGATTTAATCCCCCTAATCTATAGGGTCTAATCGAGGCTTTCCTTTAGTCTTACGATATAATTATCCCCTCTTACTTCCTTTAACGTTATCTTAGGAAAATAAGGGGTTCTAGCTTAATAAGTAATATCCTTCTTTAAGGGATACGTAATTATAATTTATATAATTCGTGTATTTCTAGTAGTGCCCCTTAGTATAGCTAGGTTCCTTGCCTTAATACCACGATTTAAGCGTTATAACGGCGTTAATAGCTCGTAAATAGCTTTAAAGGTAATATCGGCGGGCAAAAGATAATCTAGCCGTGCAGGCCGGGCTTATAACTCTTAAGCAGTGGCTTAAGAGCATAGTAGAAGAAATAGGGGCATAGAAAGGTAAATTTAGTAATATATATCCTAGTCTATCTATTAGGACAAGGGAGGGGCTTATATAGGTATAGTGACCACACATAGCTAGCTAAAAGAGGGCATTAGGATGTTCCTATACCTAAGTTAGGCCTACATAATGTCCTTAGGCTAGGGGAGTTATATTGGTCAGGCAGGCTTCCTTATGCATGACTATTGGGTCCACTGGGCATGACTGTGGCCTCTTATGCCCACTCTCCTCAACAGCTACAATTGAAGTCATCACAGGTTACCCCTACCTCGAAGTGACTGTGACTCAGCCTACAGCTTGTGCGCATGCGTATCTGTAGGCACATAGGTGCCTACCATCACTGATCAGTGGTTCCAGGTCCCGAAGGAGCCATAGAGCAGCAAGGTAGACGAAGAGTCACCGATCTAATCCGCCTGCAATTCACCGTGCCGTTCGGAGAAAGTGATACTTTTCCTCCACGGGTAGAAGAGGCAAACTTCCTAATTCGTTCCGCCGAGCAACTCACCGACCGTTCGAAGGAAAGGAAAAGACATAGCTTAGCTGCGTCAGCAACGCATTCCGACTCCCTCGCGATTGTGCTTTAATCAGTACAATTGATTACTACAATTCACCTCCGACACTATGTCTGCAGGACCTAGCAGCAGTGCCCCGGGAGGCAGTAGTAATACCCCCGTCCCTACTATCTCTATTACTCGCGATCCCCCAAGCCAGGAGAGAGTGCAAGGATAGCTAGATAAATACACTAGCATACCGATCGACATATTAGACATTGACCTATCCCTCTAGCATACCCCTGTGAACCTAGAGGAAGACCCCTCACCACGCCACTTAATTACACAGCTCGCCCGTGCGTAGACCGACTATAAGAGAGCCAATGTAGGAAGAATCGACACTCTTATTATATTCTAAGAGCACTTCGAAGGATGGAATAGTGCACTCTTTAGAAGGATTAAGCCAACGATTCGAGCTGCATTCGTTAACTATCTTCGTACGAAGGAAGTGATCACTGGCCCCTTAGGAAGAAGCCGACATGACTATCTTCTCGCTTCCCTCGTCACCGAAGAATATTGGGAAACCCAGGATACCCCAGTCACCTCCATCGACGAAGGAGCACAACCCACGCCCGCAGCGATCCCTTTGCCCCTCTCACCACCTATCAACCGCCTATACAACCTGTCTAGCAGGCCACTTAATCCGTCACCCCAACCACTTTTACAAACGCTCCGACGAGCTACACCTTCCCTCACCGCACAAGGATAGCTCCCCAGGTAACACCAGCCCCCCCTATTACCTACCCCAATTCAGTGGCGATTCCCCCAAGAGCCAAGTCAGATCCGCCACAATACACCCCATACCGCACATTGCCACCACGAGACGTGCCGAACACTCCGACCAATGCCCAGACTCTCGCCCTCTTCGTCAAGATTTAGAATAAGGAAGATACCTACTTAGGTCAACCTTATAATCTCCTTAACGATAAGATTAGGAACTTCCTAACCACCTACCGTTCGGTTGAAGTCCCCGAGAGTCAGCTACACGCCTTTCTCCCCCGCGCCCTTATAGGTCGAGCAAAGACCTACTATAACCTTTATCTTAACCTAGACCTCACGTTCGCCGTGTTGAGACATAGACCAAGATATATTTAGGCAGCACCTATAAGTGGTGAGTCACTGGATAGTGGCACGGACGTGCCGCTATGTATATATGTATGTTGAGAGCTGTCAGATAGAATAGAATAGAAGTAAGTTCAATCGCAACAGTCCTGAAGCGGAAGTTCAACCTAACGGACTTTTGGGGTCGGTACGAGTGGCAGGGCAGGGGTTCCAGTCACCACCATAGCCTATATTGGCTAAGTGGCCACCTAGACTTAGATCCTGACAATGATCGGTCTGGATAGCGATTCGCCCGTATCTAGGGATATTATATATCTGCTATTAACCCGGAGCCTCGGCGCATACAGGCACCCGGAGAAGGAAACCCTCTGATTATTAATCTATTGCAACACCCCCTTACCGTTCAATTCCTATCGATAATAGTTAACCGCGTGCAACGCTACTACTATAACAACTACTATATGCACCTCAGCAAGCATACTAAGCAGATAGAGTGCCGCTTTAGATTTCCTCACGGCCAGCGCCTACTAGCCTCCCTTAACAAGGCTCCTCACTCTAAGCACTAGAGCTTTAGGGGCGCGCGGAACGATAGCTAGATTAACCACTATAACCGCTTGCTTACCGTTGCGTGGCTAGCCAATATAGATATCTCGCCCTGCACGAGTCTATAGCAGGTGATCGACTACGCAGCAAAATACTGCTCTAAGTTAGAAAAGAAGAGCGATTCTTTTGCCTAGATTGGGAAGGCCCTAATGCCCCGGGTTAAGGACCACAACCCCCTGATTTCCTTTACGTCAAAGCTACTAAATTAGCTAGTTTCTGAGCGGGATTACTCGAAGTAGGAGGTTTGCCACTTGCTCCTCGGCCTGCCGTTATAGGAGGGTTCACGAACCTGCCTATACGTTGACTGCCGTAATTCTAATAGGCATTCCCGCTACCTCCGCATTGACGGCGATGAGGTTGATGAGGCACCCAACGTCTACGAGAAGTACAGTCAACGCCTAGAAGCTCTAACGGACCTCACTTACGTCTCCTTCCTTAAATTCTAGAATTTCCGCTCTAGAGACCCTTCTAAGTGGAAGCAATAGCAGCCAGGCAATGTCAACGGCAGGCCCCGTGTGTTGGTTTACTTTCCTCGCTATCAGGCTGATCTAGAAGGCCAGCAGTAAGTGGCCAGACTACTGCCGTGTAAAGCTGACTTTAAATCACCTACATCGCCGGCTCGATGAGCTCCTCACTTTCGACGGCCAGCTTTTTGATTCCCACGTTCAGGCCTTCTCCTATTATTGGCAGCATCACAGTCACGATGATGACCATTACGGCCAGCCAAGTGAGGCTCGATTATAGCCTCAAGAGGATCAATACGAGGCTCTGCCTATGGAGGAAGATTTGATGACGAAGACTGGATTCGCCTGGCTGCCCTTTTACCTAACCACCCCCTTACCTAGGAAGACCTTGATATACTTGGCCACCGCGATATCGACGTCAATTACGACTGGTCCCGGCATATGGGTACTTATCCGGAGCTTCGAGATGGCTACTGGAAAGACCTTATCGCTAGCCACCCCGTAGCCAACAATGTGGAGGTCCTTGGCCCTCACTGGCGTGATGAGCTGAACCTACAACAACGGCTCGTGTACGACACATTCATAGGTCACTTCCAGGCGCAAAATCCTACTCAAATCCTTCTTCACGTCACCCTGACGTCTGCTATGAACGGTTCTCCGTCCATTTTTGCTTTTCCGCTCACATCCCATTCTCTCACAGCCGCCGCGTGTCCCTAGTCTGAATCTTTATCGCTATGAGACGAAGCTTCGTCTTCGGCGATCTCGGCATTAGTGACCGCTGGTCGTGTGGGAGCCACGGCATTGACCTAAGTGCGACGGGTCGCGTTTGCGGGTCGGATAGGCGCAGCCAATAGGCAGCGCTCGATCCTACAGTTGTCTCTTCCACAACGAAGGCAACGCCCTTCACGGTAACGGGCGTCTATCTCGGTCTAATCGACCCACTTTGCACGCTTGCCTAACAGCGCTTGGTCTTCTGGTCGGTTAGATTAGTGACTATATGTGTTCTTATCACTGCGGGTGCACGCAGCGTTCACTTTCGCGGATGCTTATAGAGTTAGTTCCCATTCTATTATATCCTCTCGTCTAACTTTAGTTTTCTGGCTAGACTGTTTCTAGGTAGCCTGGCCTCCATGATTCTGGTGGTTGTTATAGTTGTCCGAACTCTTTATGTTGCCTCGGGGCCTTTTCCACTAACCCAACAGTTCTATCTAGCTGCTCAGCGAATCGCATCTCCTCGCCGGCCCAACGTAGCTGCTGATGGCAGAGGGGTTAGAGCCTATAAGGGCTGCTTTTATTTTATTGTTTAGTGCCTCCTGGAGGTAGGAAATCTTGCTGTCGTCTGGCCAATACTCGGCGTTGGCATTAGCGATCTTCCTCTTAAAGCGGGGGTAAAAGGACGTAAATAGTTTATTCTCCCCTTACTTAATCGAATATAAGTTACGTGTAGCTCTCTGCTTGCGATCCCTCTCCCCGTACAACACCTCGAGGCGGTTAAGTAGTTTAGCAACATTAAACGTTCTCTTCTCGGTTTACATCTCTATAAATATAGTCACGTTGTCTTTAGCCTTGCCTTCTAGGCTTATAAAGATATATATAAAGTGGCCCTCTATATCTCTAAGGGCTTCTTTATCGACTCGTAGTTTTCCTTCGGTTTCTAGTTTCTAGCTTCGCTACTAGGCCTTATCGCCGCCGAATTTCGGGATATCTCGTAATTTAGGGCGCTTGGTTAGATAAGGGCTGTGAGTGGCGACTACATGGATGTCCTCGATAGGGACAGCCGGGGTGACAGATGGCGTCGGCTCTAGGAGTTTAGACGAACGGGATTGCTGGTGTTGCTGGAGTTCCAGGGCAATAAACCGTTCTTTAAACTGGTTATTTCTTCGGGAATTCTCTTCTCTCAAACTTCGTATCTCGGCAACCAGGGCGCTAAGGACGTCCGGCTGCATGTTGTTATCTTCGGCCATCGCGACTTCGCTGAACGTTAATAGTTCCGACGGGACTCAGTTACTTTAGTGTCTTCAGTGTCTTCAGTGTCTTCAGTGTCTTCAGTGATCTTAATAGTATGTGAAAGGCCTCTAGTGAGTTGATATAACTAACTAGTCCCTATGCTGCTTACTATTAAGATATAGAAGAAAGTAAGAAAGAAAGAGAATCTACTACATAAGAGCATAACGGCATTTTATAGCTTCGAGCCAATAGAAGGTTCTAGAAGGTAGGCGGCGCAGCCGCCGTTAAAGGGGCTTGCCCGTTACAGTCAGGCCCTGCCAAGAGATATCTCCGAGACCTGCGAAATCCAGCCACGCTTCGCGACAACTAAAGCCTTCCTCCACCTGTCGACGGCACTGTGGCTAAATGTCCCGAGTGCCACTCTTGGAAACCACATACAGACTGCCGATTGGCATCTGCACGGACCCCGGCAGACGCCGGTCACTTGGGTCCTGGGAGCTTCATGCCACGATGTCCACCGAGCAATCCTGCATCATAGCTCTTGTTACGCTCTAGGTCTAGTCCATTAGTAGGAACTGGAGCTGGCCTCTAAGCTGCCATTCGACATCATCCAATGCGATGGAACCTCTTCCTTTAAACCCTGCGTGTTGAAGCTCTTCGTCCCAACGTGCCACGGGGACAAGATGTGTAACGGGCAAGCCGCTTTAACGGCGGCTGCGCCGCCTACCTTCTAGAACCTTCCATTGGCTCGAAGCTATAAAATGCTATTGTGCTCTCATGTAGTAGATTCTCTTTCTTTCTTTCTTTCTTCTCTATCTTGATAGTGAACAGCATAGGGACTAGTTAGTTGTATCAACTCACTAGAGGCCTTTCACAAGATGCACTGATGTCGTAGCCGGAGCCCTAACTGTTTTTACCGCCTTAAGTCCGTTCTATTTAATCCGTCTCATTTTACATTGTTCCTCTAACTACGAACTCTGTCTAGCGCCTCAAACGCAGTTTGATTATCGAAGCCAGCAGAACGCATATGACTCTTGACATTATCCCAGGGAATGGGTACGGTCGACCGAAGTGCTGCAATGATATCCTATCGATTCTCATTAGACCTGCCTATCCAGCGTCGGGTAAGGCTTACCGCTTCGGATTGTAGCTTGGCGCCACCACCATCGGGAGTTTGTAAGAGGTCGTCGGCTTGTAGTGACAACGCCGCGAAACTCAATACCGAACCAACGTCTGCCGCCCACGCTCGAGGTGTCCAGCCAAGGTGCCGTGGAATTCTCTCGTCCTCAAAAATGGAACGAACAAATGTAATGTTTACGCTCTCCCCAGGCGCGGCGAGAACGTGAAATAACATACCCGCCTCCGTAACACCGCGAGCGGCAGCATTAAGGTCATATTGAGTATTCGGATTTTTTTGGCGTTGGGCTTTGATTCGTGCGGCTTTTGCACGGCCAAAACAAATTTCGTCGACTACTTCACAATCCTCAAGTTGGTCGAGAGTAATACTCCAGCAATCTTCGTCGAAACTAGCGAAATTGCCTAGTGCGCGATCCTCACGCGAGAAGCTGCAATCGTGCTCTATACCCCATGATTGTTGTTGGACTTCTTCTAAGTCAAAAGGAAAATCGAGAGAGTGTTGACTTTGCGTTAAACCAGTAGCCGTAACTATACTGCTTGTCTCTGGGGAGATCCCGAAAGCCAGAAAGCATGCAAGTATTACATCGCGAAATGTAATGCCTCTCCCCGAAAAATCCAAAAAGCCATGGTTAGCAAGCGAATTGAGTCCTGGGCAGGCACAGCGAGCTATTGATGTTAATAACGGCTAATAAGTCTAACACGATACGTATACAACCTACATGCGTCTGGTCCGGGACTCTGGAAGTTAAGAAAACGAGCATCATCCGGGTTTAGGAAGGGTGATGTTTTGGCTGGTTGGAAATAAGACGTTAAAATAGCAAACAGAAATATAGAGAAAGTATAGAGTACCATATTTCGATCAAAGACAGGAGCTAACTTTTAAGTCGCTAGTCGGGATCTTTTAAAGTATGATAGGAAATTAAATGCTTTGGGTAAGCAGTTAACTATTAAAAGCACTTAAGTCGTCTCCCTACCCTAGGGATATATTAGCCTACTATATATAGTTATTTATATATGCTAAATAGAGCCCGTAGTACACTATTTATTAACAGCATAAGTACGCTACTAGCTATACCTGCGAGAGCTTACATTTACCCGTAAAATATCTCCCGTTGGTTATAGTAAAGTAAGCTATCTTAGATAGTTTGGCTAGCTATATAATAGGCATGTTATGTTTTAGGCTCCTAAGCATATAGGTGTCGAGCTCATTCCTAAGTCTGCTTTAGGCTAGCAGCTAAACTATTAACCGTTGGACTCTCGCTATATATTAAAAAGAAAAATATAAGAAATCTTAACTTCCTCGGTGGCTTAAGATTCTAGTAAAATTAGATATAGTTTAAATTCTCTAATCAGCTATAAGTTGTATACTTTTTGTCTTATAGTTCTGACTTATAGCTTGATTCTAGAGCTGAGTCTATTTCACCGAAACGAGAGGCTGGTCAGCTACCGAATCGTGCTGAAAGTTAGCTAGCTAATAGCGTCACGTCTACTATAAAGGCGGGCAATGTCAGAGGCATTGTGGCTGAAATTAGGGGCTGAAATTAGGGGGGTGCGAACGGACTGAGGGTTCTGTCGGAAAACGCGGTTGTTAGTCATATGTGTCAATTGCAGCGCACCTGTCGGAGCGCGCGTTCCACTTTTGCCTGCGTGGCGCAATGGTCTTCACGACAGGTTCAGTGCGTACGAATAGAGTCTCTCACTTTAATAGTTGTCGTTGTTTTTTTCCCCCTTGAACAGTGTATTGAAGCCAGCGTCATTTCAGTTTAGTGTGTCATGTCCCAATTTCGATTGGCCCCAGAGATCAGTTAGTCGAAACTTCTGCAAGACACTGCGGTTCTAGCTGGCCACCCCCTCACGCCCGATAGGCTACCTTGCCTGTGGCTTGTAGCAGTGTAAGGCCGAAACTATATAATTGGCTGCTCACATTCCCCGCGCCTTTGCTCGAGATACAGCGAGAGCCGCCCGCACTAAATGCATACAAGAAATGTACACTGCATTGCAAGGCCGGGTGGCCGATTAGCCGGTGGGGCAATGTAGATAGGGTCTTTTAAAATGTTCTTCTATATAGAGTTGTCGATTAGGACAAAAGCGGAATATAAACCGCGATTAATAGATAGCTTAAATAGTTATATAGTACGTATAGATATATATTATATACTATATAATAGAGATAGGGGCGTTTAAAAGAGGTTATTATTAGATATATAGCTAGTATCTGCCGCCCTTAATAGCGGAAACACTATAGCTAAATGATTTACTACGATGTATCTTTGCCTCTTTATAGAATATAAAATTATAATTGGAATTTTATATTGCTCTTAGATTCGTCCGGAACGTCCTTTGTATCCTTTTTAAAATATGCTGACACCCTTACCGGAGGTGGGAAGGGTGTAATACAGTCCGAAGGATGTGTCTCTATAACGTGATAATAACACGGTGATATTTCGTACTACTAACTCTGGCTATACGCTGCTGCACTACGGGGCGATATATGAATAACTATAACTTATTTTAGCCGCCTCCGTACACTATAGCGACGTCACTAAGAAAAACGAGTTTAGAATAGTGGTTGGCAAAGTTGCTGTTGCTTACGCCGATTCTCGTCGCGGACTTTTATTAGAAAACCTACTAATTTATTAGGGCTTATAGGACCTTAAGCATAAATAATATAATAGAGCTTTACTTGCTATTAGGTAGCTTCTTATAGTAGAGAGATGCCCGTTTAAATAGCGTGTCGATTATTAGGCCCTCTAATATCTTAACCCTAGAGACCGCAATATAGCTAAGCCTAGTCTAGAAGTTACGTTTAGATAGATCGGTTACTATTTTATCTACTATAATGCTCTGTGACTTATAAACCGTAATAGCATATAATGCTATAAGTAGGAATTGCGTTCGGGTACGGGCGGACGCCCTAAGAAAGAAATCTCGCTTTACTAGGAGTATAGGTACTACCTCGCGCCTATTATCCGTAGTTAGATACGATGGCCCGGTATACTTATCTATTACTATTATAATAATAGACGGCGGGTTATAGTGCGTATTAGCGCTAGAGGCCTAACCGATGTTATATACTATCCCTTAGGCGCTATTAACTATGCCTATTAGATGCTAGATGTTCTAGGTTAGCATAAGACGAGCACTAATGCATACCGCAAACTAGCTAGCTAGGTTGCCGGCTTATTCCGATATTGCCCTATTAGCACCGTTACTAATGTTCTTCGCTATAACTTAGATTGCTAGACGCTTAAGGCGGACGAGATACTTATAGTTATACTTATTTATACGTGCTTTCTTACTATAGATATGAAGAGCAGCATTAAACGCATCTACCTCGCGCTGGCCTAGCTTAGCCTATACACGCTAGCTTAGAAGTTTCCATAACTCGACGGATAGCTTTAGACCACGTAATTCGTTAAGCGTAAGCCGAAAACTAGCCTAGTTATCGCCCTATTGCCGCTAGGCTTTTTTTAAGGAGACGGTATAGATAAACGCTATATATACGCTCTAGCTAGAGACCTTATATAGGTCTTTAAGCGGTCGATTAAAGTAGAGGGGTTTATTCGTAATCGGCGGGAGCTAGAAGAAGTCACTAACGAGGATAATACTTATGCCGCTAAAGAATTCGGTTGCTCTAGCAGGTGTCACGGAGTAGGCAGAGGCGTGTGCGTAGGTGCCGTCCGTAGGATAATGTTAATAAGCTATATAGAGCTCTTCTATGCGCGGCTGGCCCGCCCTTATACTTACGGGATCCGGCCCTCCGCACGTAACTACACGGCTTAGGCCGCGGCCTAAGCCCATCACCTATAATAGTTAAAGACTCTTATACAATGCCCTCCCTCGAGCGCGGCGTAGCGCTGCCCTATTAATAGCTCCCGTA